TTACTGGAAATAGAATTGAAACCGAGGAAGAGACAGAATGGGAGATTCAATTACCTTCTAGCTGGGTGGTAATCAAAGCCCCCAACTTTGATACTTAATAGATGCTTTTCCCGCTGGCCCTTACACAGCAAATGCAAAGTCTGCCTTGTCTACCCCGAGCCAATAGGGAACCAGTTCAACGCTTTCCTTCTTTCTCACCCGGCAGGCGAAGCTTACAGGGGGCTGAGTTCAGAGCTGCAGGAGAATGAGATCTGATATTTCACATTCCCCAGGAAGGTCGGAAGGTCATGAAATGGTGACCCCTACCCAGGCAGCCAGGGGAGACCTGCATGATGAATAAAAGCCTCTCTAGGGATTTGCGAGGTGACTCTGTGTCAGGGCTGGGGGCAGAGATTTAAATATAAATTAGGACCAGACAGGGGTTTACTTCAGTGCTCAAAGGAAGATTTATAGGGTTTTAGTCCCTTTATCAGCACCAGGCTGTGGGGATTTTCACTGTGTGGCACTCGGCACTGGGGACTGTTCCACGCTGGGCTGGTTCATCCATCATGGCTGAGGAGCTCCCACATCCTCATCTGCCTGCCAACCCCCCTTTTCTTGCTCCTCTGTCCTCTCTGCCTGCTATTGCAGCCCCAGATGACAGAACTGAGTTCCCTCTCACACTGGGTTGCAGAGGACTCCTGCCTAATACTCCTCTATGCTCTTTTTAGACTCTGTTTAGTTTTTTCTTGCTTCTCCATTGAATGCAAGTATGACCGTTTGCAGTCACTTCTTTCCTGCTTTCCTGCCTCTTTTAAAGAACTACCCAGCTATCTTCCCCAGGTGACTTCACCTGCTTCTTTGTTTTTGGTGACCTGTTTTCTCACCAGATCTCTGGCTCTGGATTTGAGAACCTGATGTTCGGCCAAATAGCCTCAGCAGAATCCCATGGGTTCTACGGGTAACTCTTAAGCACACTGAAGTTTGAGATCCAAAATTCTGGATGTCAAGGCGGGATCAAGCTAGGGCTTCCTCCCTCTGCTGGGCTTCTCGGGGACCACGTTCTCCCTCAGGGGAGTCTTTCTCCAGCATTAACGTAAGCAGAGTTAGTGTGGAATTGTGAGGCAAAGGGCAAATAACCCGGCCACTGTGGGGTACAGAGTGGTCCCCAGAGAGGACAGGGCCTAAAAAGTGCCCCGGCTTATGAATATTCATGATGGCCATGGGGTCAGTTTTGATCACTCAGATCCATTCAAGGCACTTTCTCTAAGCCTTTGTGAGAGCAGGAAACAGGTTCAGGGAATAAGGAGGAAGGGAAGAAGATTGAGGTTAAAATGAATTGACAGGCAATAGGATTAGAACTCTTGCTCAATTCTGATCTTGCGAGTAACTAACAGTGGCCTGAAATTACAGAATTAAACCATGAAGGCTTCTTTGACAACTGATCTGATAGGCCCAGAAGTAAATTTCAGGGACAGTGTTGTTAGGCAGAGGCAGAGGACAGCTAAGATAAAGGACTTGGGAGACTGGAGAAGGGGAGTGAAGCAAGTCTTTACCATGCGGGGAGAAGGGCTTTGGTCTCTCTTCTCAGGACAGCACTAGACTGCAATAGGACTGGGGCAAGTTAGTCACCAGGGCTTCTATTTACCTCTGGTAGTGCTTTATTCTGTGCATCTAATTATGACTTTTAAATATGAAATGAGAGGAGAAGATAATGAAACCTAAGTCAAATGTGACAGCTGGCAACTCTCTGATAATAGCACTTCCTTCATGTTGCTTACTAGTGTGTGAGTGAGTGTGTGTGTGTGTGTGTGTGTGTGTGTGTGTGTGTAGGGGGGGACCACCACCAACAACAACAAAACAACTCCAAAGGGTTCCAGGAAACAATATCAAATGTGATTTAATGACATTTTCCATGGGAGACAGGGTATAGATAAAGTAGCATTCTACGTTTGCTGCTGCTGCTTTAACATTAGAAAGCCTAGAAAATTCTATATACACATCAGTTTCAGGATAAGTAAAATGCCTCTCAAATTCCTTTCTCTTTCTTATCTCATACCTTAAACCAAGGTTAAAAAAGGATAAGGAACGTTTATAGTATAACCAAGGTGAAATTTTTTCACAGTATTGGAAAAAACAAACTCTAACCCCTGTAGATAACTCATACGATGACCTGATATTGGAGGAAATCAATGCTTATCTACAATAGATCTCTGGGATCTTTCTTCAGTGGAGGTTTTCTTCAGCTGGCCATCCTCCAGGTTAACACAATGGATAGCAAACCAACTCTTAAAGGAAATCTTCAGAACAAATTTGACAATCTTTCTGGGAGACCCCACTTGATGCAATTTGGAGCTGAATGTCAATCAAAGTCTAACTCTTTGATGCCCAGTTGTGATACCCCCCTCCCACCAGAAACTGGCTCCAGGTGGAACCTCAGAGAGCCTCACTTCTGCCATCCCTTACATGGAAATCACTGGGATCAGAGTCACTGATTCACAGTTGACTTTGGAGATTCTGCCATTTTCCAAGGACTTAGCCTGTTCTGTCCCATGAGTTTTGCCCTAGGGGAAACTGTATACCCTTGCAGGGTCCTTGTCGGGTTGCAATGAAGTGAAGTAGCCAAAGCAGGAAAAGTAAATGCTAAGCTCTGTTCTTCGTGTGACATCTCTTGACTGACTACCTTTTCTGTCCCTCAGATTCCTGCCGAGGGCCCCAGTTTCATGGGAACTCATTTTATGTGATGTCTGAAACTACTGCTTACTGTGTCTTCTCAGATTTTGGATATTTTAAATCTCTGATTTCAAAATAGAACATTTCTTTAGATTAGGTTTTGACCTATGTGTAAGGATCTAGAACTAGGGAGGGGCACCTAAGTGATAGGAGATTTAAGCCCTATTTATAGAGCTTAGTTTTGCTTTTGGGTTGGAATTGCTAATGGACTAGTTTTATGGGCCATGATTCTCCATGAAAGCCAGCAAATACAGCTCTGTGTACTCACAGAGATAGAGAGAGATCCTGGTGGGGTGGAGGAGGGTGCCCTCTGGCAGGAAATGCTCTTGTAGTTCCTTACAAGCCTCAGAATCTCTTCTCCAGGATGGTTTGGGTTTTCTGAGAATTTGCTCTTTGACTGTCATCTCTACCCCTATCAATATGGCCACCGAGGTCTTGCTTTCTCCCAAAGTCCACTGTCTGCAAGAGTCCTACCCTGTTGTGTGCATTAGCAACGTCAAGATAATGCTCTACTGGTAAATGTTTAACAACTGATTTCTTAGGGAGAGAAGGGGAACCCCTGGCTTGTGTTTGCTACTTTCCATGGTGCAAATTCTCCCACCATGGCCAATTTTGAGTTATCACCATGAAGTCACTAAATGTGGAGTTGGAAGATGAGCTGTAGAACATCCTTGTGTAGCAAGTTCATCTTTTGGATCTGACTGATACAAATAATGTCAGGAGCCCAGAAAGCAAAGAGTGATGAAATAATTAAGAAGTGATTAGGTTGGGTACTTATTACTTGTGCATTAAATATAATTTATTTAATTGAAAATTTATACAATTTAATTTTTAATAATGGCTGTACTTAATAATCAGCTTGCAAAATTGCTAAGAATTTAACAACCAGAACACATGGCAGCTCTAGGGTACCACTGGGTTTGAAGTTGGCAAAAAAAAGGAAGAAAAAGGAGAAATGAAAGAGCACATTAAGTACCACAGTACTAAAAGGTTCCTAAGCCATTCGTACTTCATGGCTAGGTCCTTCTGAGCCTTGGGTCGTGAGTTCATAGGAATGACATGGTTGATGTTGGTCAGAGGCCTGGACTGTGGAGGCAGACATATAGGTGTTTCTCACCTATAAAGTGGGTATAATAAACAGTATCCATTTCATAAAGTTGTTAGGGAGATTGTATGAGATAGTATATTCAAATACTTAGTCCACTGGGTCATGTAGTGAACTCTCAATAAATGGTAGCCATGTGTGCTATTATGACTTCTATCTGAAGATAGTGATTCATGTGAATACTGATTGTTAAAAACAACCTTCCTTGTATGGCCTGACATCCATTTCACCAATAATCATTCATGTTGGCTCAAGGAGAGGGATGGTTCTTTCTCCATACCTACAGAAAAAGCTGTGATTCAAATATGGGTAACTCCTTTCTCCCATTAAGTGCTGCTGTCTCTCTAGGTCTTCTTAGAATGTACATGTTCCTCAGAGGATGTCAGTAAGTCTAGCACCTCAGTGTGAATGAGACAACCAGAACCCAGGGCTGTGCAGGGGTTCTTGGGAATCTAAGAAGCCTGGCAGTGGGTGAAGAGAGACAAGAAAGGGCATTGAGACCGCCACATAACTGTCCCCACATCATCTCCCTGGGGCTGGCCTATTCCCAGGTTGACCAGATGCCCCTAAAAGCAACTCCACTCTAGTCTTCCTCTTCCTGTTCTCCCAACTGTTCTAGGGCAAAGACCCAGTTGATCCACTGCTGATGTGGGAACATTGCTAAATATTTTGGGCAGTCTTCTTATTTTGAGAACCCTAAGTGTGAAGTTGGTTAATCTGAGTTCTACCTGTGGTCTGATCACTCCATGTGTGACCTGGAGAAGGTAATGTCCTGCCTGGGCATTTTTATTGTTTTTAGTATATTGAGGATACTGATGAGGATTAACCTGAGACTCAAATGAGAGAGAGAGAGCCCTTGAAGAGCACTAAAGCTCAAACACACTTTTTGGATATTATTTTCTATTTCTTATTTGTTGTTAGTTTCTCCTTTTTCTTTAATTCCTTACATGTGGATATGGAGAGAAAGGTCTCCTTGGAAGTACCATAGATGGAAGAAAATAGCACATGTCCTCCTCCTTATTCTAAGGATTTCTAGAAACCAACATGCAAGAAGATCCTATCCAAGATCACTTACTCATAACACAGTCTTGTATGCAATAACAACGACCAGAAGTTATTCCCAGGTTGGCTCAGGTAGGTGACTTGGCACAAGAAGGCAAAGGTGATGTCTTCAGGAGCCCCGAGGCCCTATGAATGTTAGTTGTATTCTTCATGAGGTTCCTTTGTTTATCTGGGACACCTGGGATGTTTTCAAAATGGTTGAGTATCAGAAGTCAGGAGAGGAACTGCGGCTTCTACAGTTATCAGACTTACAGCCAAGCAGGTCTTGGATTACAGAAAGGGACCGGGGACTAAGTAGGGAGTCAGACAAGCCTATTTTTTTCTGGCACTGACCAACCAGCCTCAAGTCATTCCTGGACCATTCTTGTGGGTGGAGGTGGAAAACTAGTGCCAGTGCCCCGGGGGTGCATGTCCCGTAGCTCTGAGAGCAAGCAGGATGCAACCTAAAGTTTGTCACCCACTCAGGGCTCTGAAAAAATGAAGCCCTAGCCCCAGGGCTCTGGCAATTATTGTGTGACTCAAGAGGATTGAACTGTCAAATCTTCCAAGGACCTCTTTCTGGTTCTTGGGGTGTAAGGTGGCAGCAAAAGTGGCTGGAGAATTACTCGGGTTGTTTAGGGGGAGGGTGTTGTGTTTTAGGATGAATTATTTTTGATGAAGAAAAGATTGTTGATGGGCAGCCAGGGCAATCTGCCTGAAACTAAGTACTCACTTGGAGGCCTGCCAGGATCCAGCTGAGGTGACAGAATGGGTTGGTGAAAGGCCCACTGGGTCCCAGTGAGCACTTCTTGGGGTTTGGGTGTAATGCTTCCCCAGTGCCTGAAGTGTGGCAGAGGGGAGAAGCAGACTCAACCTAAAGAGGCAGGACTCCCTCTTAAAACAGACTGAAAAAAGAAAGAAGAAACGATTTGGACAGTACATCTTTCAACTCCAATAGTCTTTTCCTTTTGGAAATAGTGGAGAAAGGAACTGTGGGTGGCAGGAAATATCTACTCTGATCGAATCTTACAAACATTCTATAAAACTATGTCAACAAAACAGGACAGACATCACACCAAGATCTGGAATCACAGGATGTTTACATGATATTAATGCCCACGGCAGACAAATACTAAATACCACAAAATACCTGAGACAAAATTAAAAGAAAAAAAAAAAAGAAGGAAAGAAGGAGAAGAATACAAAGGAGTCTAGTGTCCTGACATCCAGAGGTCCGGGGCTCACAGGCCGTGTGTGGGCTTCTGGTGGCTCCTGGCCTCACATCTCAGCTTCTGCGGAGTGGACTTCCGTCGCAGTGATAGCAATTCCGATGGCAAGGCTGCCATTGTCAGAGAAGAGCTGGGCCAGGGAGGTGTTGAGGACAAGGCAGTCCCCATCTGTGATGACCGAGTCCACGCACTCGAGGACAGACCGGGGGGTGGCCTCCCATTTGAGACGCCGATGGTTTCTGTTGAGCTCCAGGCGATAGGTGAAACAGTCGGCCTGGGTGGGGGTCCCGATCAGCATCATGGTGGCAAAGAACTGGGGGTGCCCTTCGTGCCTCTCCTGCTTCCTGAGCACCAGCAGAAAGTGGTGGCCGAGGCAGGAGTGCATGATGATCCAGTCGGCCGGCGCCGGCAGGTGCATGTCTGTGGCCAGGAAGACTATTTCTGCTCCCTGAAGGATGTCAACCCTGTGGGTCTGACGCAGATGGGGCACAACCACCTCCAGGTGGCCTTCCCACTGGCAGGAGAACAAGGGGCACAGGCAGGGCGTCACCTGGGCAGCGTGCAGCCCTGCCTCCTGGTGGTGGAGGTGGTGGGGGTGGACATGGTGGCGCAGGTGGTGGTGGTGGCGGTGGTGACGATGGTGGTGGGGGAGATGGTGAGGGTGGAAGCTGCCTTGCTCTGCAGTGCTCTGAGTGATGGCACGTCTACTGGACACATACTAGAAGGAAAGAGAGTAGTATTAGTGGGGCATGAGACCTGTGTCTGTCCCTGGCTGCGACTCCCCTGGTGACCAAAATGTTAAAAGCTGATTGTCGGGCTGGGGTTGTAGTTCCTACTAAGTATGAGTCACTGGGTTCGATCCTCAGCACCACATAAAACTAAATAAATAAAATAAGGGATTAATTACAATTTAAAAAAAATTTTAAAGCAGATTATTTAGTGCCAACAGAGAAAGGTTCATTTCTTTTAAAGATGAGGGACATTGTGGGTACCTGGGATGATGGGGGGTTAAGATTCTGGAAACTCGGGCCAAGAAAATGCAATATTTATGTCTTTGTGATTCTTTAATAAGATATCCAAGCAAATAGCAAATAGCCAATTTTCCCCTCAAATAACATTGTACTGTAATGGTCATCAATCATGAAGAACACCCCCCACCCTGGTTGTTTTTGTTTTTGCTTGCTTGATACTGTTGATATTTTTTGTGCAGACAATAGAAGTCAATGGATTTTTTTCTATTTTATTATTGCCGTTATTTTTAGAATAAAAACTCAATAATATCTATTTGTCCTTCCAGGGTTATCAGGGGTCATACAGTTTTGTATATCCTTCTCCCAGGTCCTAAGGCAACCATTGGGACACAGAGGCAATTGTGTGCAGTTAGACCCCAGTCACCAGGGAGGAAGCCCCACCCTTGACTCCGGGCACTGTCCCCCACCATGGTCACTTCTACCCTATTCCTCGCTCTCTGCTCCAGAGCAACTTCTCAGGGGCTCACTTCCAGGCACTTCCATTGTGATAGTCTCCTGACCCTTTGTTCCTCAGGGCAGTGTGCCCACAAATGTCCTTAATAACAGTCAGACCTGTGATGGCACCTTCTGATCAGGCATCTGTAAGCATGTATGGAGCACCCGCTATGGCCAGGCCCTGAAGGCGTTAGGAATAGACACCGTGTCTCTTGGTGTGGGTGGTACAGACATTAATATGCTTATAATTAATCACACATTTGACAGGGGTCCTCCTTGTGACATGAGGACTATGATTCATATTTTTCAGTTGAAGATACAGGCTTCAGTTGCAATGTGCCTGAGGTTACCAAGCTGGAAAGCCGCAGACAGGGATTCATTTCCACACCTCCTGACTCAGAACACAGAGCACGTATCCCACCCCAGTTCTGCCTGCCTTCAGCTCCCCACTCTCACTCCCGAGTTTCTCTGTCTTTAATTAGCCACTGAAGGATCTGGGCCATTGGGTGGAGGTGGCAGCCTTATAGCGCCCCCCCAGGCACGGGGCCCTCACCTGGTAGTGGTCTCCTAGGCTACCCTCAGGTCGCAAAAGTCCCGTCTGCCCTAGTTCTCCAAATGCTTTCCAGACTTGAAGTGCCTTTGGGCACCTGTCTTTTCTCCTTGTTTCAGTTTGTTCCCAAAGAAAATAGGGTGAAAGTCTGCCTTTTACACTCACCACCATGGTTACAAGAATTTTTCTCTCTTCTAGCTCACTGTGGCTAACTGCCAGGGGCTCACTGGCGTCCCCTCTTTAGAGCATGAGCACACACACACATTCATACACATGGTATGCAGAGACGGCCACCTGGTGGTGGAGGTGACCTAGAGGCAGGTGGGCATAGATGAGGTCTGCTCTGGAGTTGTTAGCTCTAGCTTCCGGGGTCTGGGTTCTTGCATAAGCAGTGTAAGCTATGGAAGTCCCTCCAGCAGCGCCTTCCTGACTCTGATGGTAGCTACTGGGCCGCCTGCTGTCACCCATCCTCACCCCTAAGGGAGACATCGTGCCTTCAGCCGCGAGGCAACAGACTATGTTCTAGAATTCTGCTAGTGATAAGTTACCCTTTAGTATTAAACACAGAGAAGGGAGTTACCTAGTATGTAGCATCTACTAAGTGTTCGGCACTACAAAAAGTAGATTTTAGAAAATAATTATTTCATTAATTCTCTCACAGTAAAGATCAGTTTGGGGTTTTTTGTTTGTTTACAGATAAATTAAACCTTGTTGAGTTGCCATCTGCCTGCCGGCAGCCTGGACCATTTACTCACTGGGTAAAGGGAGGGTTCCTCCCAAGAAATCCAGGGCTGTATCTCCATCAGCTAGGCTCCAGCTTGCCACAGTCCAGCTGGGCACAATAACCAGGAGGTCACGAGCCACTTGTAGATTCAAGCAGGAACGAACTTTATTCGAGAACCCACGGGAACTCCGCGAGAACTCAACGGGAACTCCATGGCAGCTCCGCGAGAACCAATGGGAACTCAGTGAGAACTCAAAAGTAGCAGGCACCCGAGGTAGCAGGAGCCACCTTATTGCCGGACAGCAGAGGTCCATACACACAACTGAATACACAGCCTGCCCCAATCCAGCATCATCCAGTTACAGCAATCAGTCATTATCTTAATAATTATACACAGCTTAACTTAATTATCATCATCTTAATGGCTCACTGGCATTACCCCTCAACCACTCCTTCTGGCAAAATGCCAGGCGCCATCTTGACTTGGTCGTAGCTCTCAATATTGAAGGTTGAAGCGGGAACTGCTTTATTGCAGGGAAACTCAGCAGGAACTGAGCGGGAACTCAAGGTAGCAGGCACCCAAGGTAGCAGGAACCGCCTTATTGCAAAACAGCAGAGGTATATATACCTAACTGGTTACACACAGCTTGACTCAATTAGCATCATCCAGTTACAGCAATCAGCCAATAAGGAATCCCTACCATCTAAGTGGCTTGGTGGCATTACCTTACAAACCACTCCTCCTGGCAAACTGCCAGGCACCATCTTGACTTGATATGCAGTCCCCAATACCAGCTAGGCTCCATGGTCTTTCCAGAAGTCTGCACCTTCCTGAAAGGTGGTCTGCTTCTTCAGCTGTGCTCAAGAAAGCCTAGTCTTGTGCTCTGATGGGAAGCCCCAAATGCTGCCCCTACCCAGTCTCTGAGAAGAGCCCTTTCTCACATGGGCTTTATAATAATCATGAGAGAAATATGTTATGCTTGTCTTATTGATGAAGAAACTAAGACACAGAGGGACTGAGTCACTTGCTCAAAGTTACACAGCACATAAAAGATGAGGCTGGAAATGGAGCCCAGAATAGCTAAAGGGGACAAGGATCATAGTCTGGGAAGAACACAGTCTGGATCTCAAAAGACTTTTGTCTACTTCCCTGTGTACTTGTCCAGCAGCTGTGATGAAGGAAGTTTTCTTATTGGCAAAAATAATTAACCCCAAAGGTCTTGATGACTGGGAGAACAACAAGTTTGAAAGGGCCAGATGCGAAAGAAGGCAAGATGTTTAAGAGGCAATAAAATAATGCCTTAAGATGGCATTAAAAATGAAGTCAAGTGTTCATACGAAGATGATCTTTCCATTTATATGGGGTTGGGGGTGAAGACTTTGGTGACCTTCTGCCTTGGTCCATGCCTTCCTCTCTCCAACCTGGTCACTTGACCTTCACACGTGGGTGGCAATTTGGTTGAACACAGGCTACCACAAGAGCCTGCAGAACCTGATTTTGCCCTTGGCCTAACGCATGATGACAGAATGTCCTGGGATTCCCATCTCAGAAGTGGCCTCTGGGCTAGTTAACCTCCACAAGCCCTTCCCCAGCCCACTCTCCTTCTTCTGTGTTGTGCTGTGCGGCCAATGTCAGACATGTAAAGTCACAGTAGGGAAGGAGGGGGGATACCCTGAGCTCCCTTTTCCCTCTCTCCAATCTGCCAGTGCCCCCCATCAGACAATGCAACCAGGAACCTGTCAGCAAAGGGAGTCACGAGTGCACCAAGCAAGTGTTGACTCCCTTTGGAAATGGTACTGAGCGAGGCAGGTAGGCGGCGGAGGAGGAAGAGGATGCCTATCTGTATGCAAATATCTCTGTTCCCTCCTATGTGATGTGGTAGGTGAGCTCTGATGAGGCTTCAGGTGGGGAGGAGAGAGAAACATGACCACAACTCAAGGTAGTCACCTAACAGTGCAAAGGGTTGAGAATTCAGAAGAGCATCCTTGTTCCTGGCTCACTGGCCCCTAGGATCATGTATGTTATAACATAATGCAAAAATGCAGTGTAGCAGGTCCTCTGTATCTGTGCTTTCTGTCAACCACAGATTGAAAATATTTTCGAAAATCATATCTGTATAGAACATGTACAGACATTTTTTTCTTGACACTATGTTCTAAACAAAATGTACAGCATTTGCATCGTAGTAGGTATTATAAATAATCTACTGATGGTTTAAAGGATTTGGGAGGATGTCCATGAGTTATATGTAAACACTAGGTCATTTTACATGAGGGGCTTGAATATCCATGGATTTGAGTACCACAGAAGTTTCCGGAACCAATCCCAGCAGACACTGAGGGAGGATTTCATGCATGAAGGGCTCTCATAGCAGAAAGTAGGGGAGGCTATTCTAGCGAGCGTGAGGGACATTTATTCTGTGTGAAGCATGAAGGGTGAGTTCTCTAACAAAATAGGTAAAGGTCTTGCTGACAGGGAGAACAACAAGTTTGAAAGGGCCAGATGCGAAAGAAGGCAAGATGTTTAAGAAGCGACAAGAAGTTTCCAACAGAACTGGCAGATGGACCATCTGGTGGAGATGGAGAGGGGTTGGGCCTTATTGCCAAATCAAGGGGAGGCTGAGATGGCCTTCAGTGCCCAGTGGGAAACCAGCAGGAAGGCCTAGGACTCAGCTGTGCACTTTAAAGTGTTCTTGAGGATGGCCTGCTCCAAACTAGCACTCAGAGTGGGGCCAGCAGCCAGTCCCCACCCTGTCCATCCAGTAGAACCAACAGTGCTCTTCCACCTAAGCGCTCCTGTTGCTTCCTTTGGGCTTCTTCATCTGCCAGCCTTTTTATGTTTTGTTTTTTAATTGCTGCTGTATCACAAAGCAGCCAAGGATATAATCCAAAGAGACCGAATTGAATGACTATGCAAATAGAGTGGGACATTATGAACTCATGGAGACTGGGGCACTTGCTGTGCTCCAAGAAGGCGC